GATGCAGTTTCAGGTACCCAATGACTCTGGATCACTTCTAGGGACTATGCCTCATACTTGTCTGTATGATACACAAGAGAGAAGTAGACACATTGTATATGCCCAATTACATTCATTAAATTAATGCTGGATAATTATTATTGAGCCAAAAAATAGTTGGAGTTCCCAGAATATCATTGTTTTCACTTATGCTTGCAGAAGTTATAAAGGAATATACTGACCTACAAAACAGAAAACAAAAAGCTTTCTAGACCTTTCCATATTCCCCATTACCTCCCATAAGATATATTTGACAGATGAAAATAAACTAGTCTTTGCAAGCACTAAATTGCTCATCAATCTCACAAAAGGTGTCATTTAGTCAATTACCTTCACTAAGGAAATATAAATGGAACATAGCTGCCTGAGAAAAATTAATTCACCCAACTTGAGTAACTAGCTCACAGAGAATGGCTTTTATAATCCTGGGTAGCTGAACCATATTTCATTCCTGGTTTTCACGAGGAAGAACTGAGTTTTTTACCTTTTTTCTTTGGATTTTGATTTTAGCTGATTTGTGTAGCTAGTATAGCCCAAGGACAAGCAAACATATATCACCCAAAGTATTGATTATAAGACAATTAAAATGTACCTTTTCTTATGTCTGAAAACATGAATGTTACCTCCATAATCCTACCAAATTCCCCTAACTCTCCATATAAAGGCATACAATGCCAGACAAAAGTGAGAAAAATGCTCACCATGGAAATGTAAAAGCAGCACAAGTGGGGCCAGTAGGTGGTGTGGTGGTTAAGGTATTGGATAGCCACATGACTGACCGTGATTTGAGTCCCAGACCTAGTGACTTGAAAAATCACACCAGGTGTGTGGGTATGCATGCCCAAAGTTTGAAGAGAATGAAAGAGAAGGTATTGAAGAGGGGCATACCCCCCCAAGGGGTGATTTCTCACTCTCCCTCTCTCTACAGTGACCTATAGCAAAAACCTAAAAAGAAAAAAGAAAAAAAGAAAAAAAAGCAGGGCAAGCAACAGCTTAGAGGGATTACAAACTCAAATGTTCACTGCTGCCAAATAGGTAGCATGGATGAGTAAAACAGGTGTAAGAACAGACTAAGGAGTGATTTTAAAAAATGGCAGCTACATTCAGGGTGCCCACTACTGTATACAGAAACTGCAGTGCCATGCAAGAATGTGGGGTCAGTGTGGCCAAATTTTATAATTGTTCAAAAGAAGGTAAAAATCCAGATTTTGTTATAGGTAATATAACCAATATTGGTAAGTGACTGAAAATGTAGAAAACAAAAATCCAAAAGCAAACTGTGTTAAGTCAAATACAACGTAAAGTACTGCTAATGTATGACCTCTGATATTAAAAAATCAATATTAAAAAAAATTTTTTTAAACTAAATCCCTACCTCACAGCCATTTTTAGTACCTCAATTTCTATATTACTCTTTTGTTTCTCTCTTTCTCTATACTATATTAATGATAATACCAGGTAGATTAAAAGTTCAAATGCAGAGGACCAGGAGAGGCACAATGGTTAATGGACTCCCACGTGACTGACCCTGGTTCGAGTCCCGAACCCAGCAACTTGAAACTCATGCCAGGCATGTGTGTGTGCATGCCCAAAATCACAAGAGGAGAATGGAGGAGAAAGGACTGAGATGTGGCCATCCCCCCTGGGGGTGATTTCTTACTCTGTCTCTGTCTCTCCAGCAAGTACATGCACCCTTTAGCAAAAATCTCTCTCTCTCTTTAAAAAAAAAAAAAAAAAAAAAAAAAAAAAAAAAAACAAAAAAAAAAAAAAAAAAAAAAAAAAAAAAAAAAAAGCTCAAATGCAAAAAATAAAGTAAATAAATAAAACTAAAAGAAAATATAAATAAGTATGTATCAAATCTTTAGTTTGGTGATTAACCATCATGATGAATCAAGAAATCACAAGAGAAATTTCTTATCTATAATGCAATAAAAATCACAAACAATAGGAAAAATTACTTGTCTAAAACACAAAATAATGTTATAAAAATAAAATACAAAATTAAATATTTTCAGATGGAAAATATTTGAAGTCAATATAGAAAACAAAGGGCTACTATCCCATATTAGTAAGAGAATCAAGAAGAATGATTCTAAACTCACATACTGGTAGGAGAATCAAGAATGAACTACATGGTCAGCAGGTGGTATGGAAGTTAAGGCGGCTGCATCCTACATGGCCAATTGCACAGTTTAAGTTCCAGACCTGGTAACTTGAAAAACACACTGGGTGCATGTGCATGTTTTATCATTATTTTATTATAAAATCCTCAGAGGATAATGAAGGACATGGGATCGTAGCATGGTCACCCCTCTGGAGTTGGGGGGAGTGATTTCTCAATCTCTTTCTTTCCCTCTCTCTGTCTCTAGTGAATGCATCTGCCCTATAGTAAAACCTAAAACAATAAATAAATAAAAATAAACTCCAACTCCTTACGAACAAAGATAATTTGCAGTTGTGAGTTCCCAACTGTTTTTGATTTGGATAATGATTTAACCCCAGTGGTTCATATTTTGAAGTCTGTGATAGTTTTGGGAGGGTGAAACTTAGTTGACAGTAATTGGATCACAGGGTTGAAGAGGTGATGCCTAAGGGGGGGGTGACAGGATCTTACACACCTCAGCCTCATGAATGGATTAATACCGTCTCTTGAGAAACCAAGTAAATTCTAGCCCTCAAGAAATGGGCTTAGTTCTTGCAAGAGGGGTTGTTATAAAAGGAGGAAAGAAATTTTGTTAAAAAAACTTTTGAAATGCCCTAAATGGCCTAATAGAGATAAAAGCAACAACAGCAACAAAAATCAATGACTTGGAATCGAGCACATTTCAAGAACGCATTATTAACAAAATAAGATAGGAAATATGCAAATTAATAAAAAATTAATTATCTCTCCAGAAGAATTCACTTATGAGAGGGCTTCTAAAAGTTCATGAAAAAAAATATGGAGTATGAGCTTATTGTCATGCAAATAATTTTTGAAATCCACGTATAGTTTTTTCATGATATGCAATTTACATAAACTTTTAGAAGACACCTCATATGTACCTACATAAAAAGGTTTGTAAACAATTTCAGAAAGTCCTAACCCTACCCCAGAATTGTGAATATAAAGTATCTTAAGATTAGAAATCTGTCCCACCCTATTAATACATATAGCAAATAATAGTAGTTCAAGGCTCAAGAAACAGATATTGATTCGCCCTTGAGCCACTCTTTTTCTTTTGTGCTCTGGCCTACTCCTACCTCTCAGAAGTGTCCTTTTGCTTTTATTTAATAAACTACCCTGTGCCTTTGCTACCAAAAAGAAAAAGGAAGAAAAGTATTCAATTTAAGTTAAAAATCACATCAAAGAAAAGCCAAACCAACGTAAGCCAATTAAATCTAATTTAGAAGGTGACCCAAATCTTGCTAAATATTGTTCCAAAATTCATGTAAGTTTGAGAAAAATCAGTAATTACCCATAAACAAATAAAAGCACTCCAGTATGTATTAAACATGGTCAATTATAACATAATAAGTTATCATTTTAGATGCAGAAGAAGAAGTTTAAAGATCTAGAGCAATTATCTAAACTACAAGTATATTTAGAGATCAAGCTGGAAAAGCACATGAAAGGGTATAGTGGCTGAAATACAGAGATGTGGGGTGAGCTGAACAGAGCAGTTCCGGTGACACATGTCATAAGCTGTACGACACTAGTCCCACGATACTTTCAGTTAAACATACACATTCTTCATTTTGTTTTGTTTTAAAGAGAGTGAGTCAACAAAGCACTGCATTCTTGTTCAAGATTGACCTAAATTATTACACAGAAGATAGAGCCAGCTAGACAAATATGAACTATGCAAGAAGGATCTAAATTCATCCTTTATAATGAACCTAAACAGAAATGTTTGGTTCACATCAAAATTGGAATAGAAAACAACTAGCTCCCTTACAGAGATTCTGAATAAACCTCGTTAGGAAAGGCTTGAAATGTTCCAAAATATAAAACTCAAACAGCAAACTGCATATCTTCTGTTTAAGATAACTAGGATCTTTGGAAGGGAAAACGACATCTCTGAAGATCCCTTATGAGGATTTGGAGGTAATTTGAGCCTTTTTTAAATCCTTCACTATTAGGATTCTTTCAAGATGTATATGTTTCCATAGGTTTTCTTCAAGTTGATGTGGAGAAAAATCATCTTGGTTGAAGACCTTGAAATATTTAGACATATGTATTTCTCTTCTTTGAGTAATTTCATGTTACTTTAAGAGTATGTAAATCAGATTGTCTTAAAGTTTACTGTTTATAAGAACAGTGTCTGATTTGAAATAGTAAATTTGAATCACAATAGTACAGGTTCCTTGGAAATACATTCACATTGCCAAAGGTAGGAAATAACCTTTTTTAGGGTAAAGGATCTTCATGTAGTGACACACTCCCCATAATTGGATGAGAGTCTGTGGTTGCATCAGATGGCATCTGAAAGTACTTATCTGTGAATCTTTGCTTTTCCTCAAAACCTGTTTTTCCTTAGAGAAGAAATGAGAGTTTTCAGGTTTCACAGGCCATCCACATTTTCTCTTCTCAGAGTAAAACTTTCTAGCCTGGGTCATTCTATTCATAATTAAAAAGAGAGAACATTGAAATGCGTGGTGTAGAATGTTGTGGTCATACAGGCCTTCGTCGGATAAAATGCTTTCTTCATGATCAAGAAATAAAATGAAACTGAAATGAATTTTGAATCATCCTTTCAAGACTTCATCATAACTATATTTAAAGCACAAACAAAAAAGTAGTAAAATCTTGACTGATAAATATAAATACTCAAAATATTCTACAAAATTTTCAATACATTATTGCCAAAACATAATATTTAGGAAAAATACATCATTGAGAAAAATATATACTACCGACCCTAAACATTTACCAAAATAAAGTGATAAATAAGATAAATAATTCTCCAAATGGCACTCACCAAAGACAATTGAAGACTCACAGTGATAATAACCATTACTTTGCTTTTTCTTCAGCATGGAGCACAAATCTATGCGATGTAAAATTTCTTCTCCAAATCTGTGACTAATAAATTTTTCATAGAGTTCAGGGTCTATTTTTTTCACTCCCTTGAAATGACAAAACAAAATCACATCGATCAATCATTTCACTCAGGCAGCCAGTTCATATTTATATCACTTTCTTAGAATCTGATATCACTTTTTAGTATAAAATAGTCTACTGGCACTTGAAAATGGATACCACAAAATTGTTGTAAAGTTGTTTTTAAGATCTTTTTTGCATGAGTTGTATCTTAAAAGTCATCAATAATAAGTGCAAGGTTTAAATTTGGCAGCACTCAGAACTTCATATATTTTAAGCTTCAGAAATACTAAAGCATATCAAGTTGAAATTTCACATGCTAAGGAAAGAATAATCATCTCCAACAACCATGGAGAAATGGATGAATTTTTATAAAGTGATATGAATCTTAACACTTTATAGTAGAAAAAAATGTTCCTATAAAATGGATGCAGTTTTTAAGTTCCCTACATAAGAATTATCTGAAAGATAATTAAAAGTCACTTGAACTGGAGTAAGGGGGTTCAGTAATCCTTCCAAGATCTTGTCTTTCTGTCCCTCCTCTTTTTCTCTTTTTAAATTTTGTCAACGGTGCATGTGCACTTAAGAAAGATAAAGAGATATAGGAAAAGTAAAAAAAAAAAAGCACCCCCCACAGGTGACAGTCACATCGCAATCCCTTCCTGTCTAGTTCATCCTCCTTTCAGGATTTTGGGCACACATGCACACATGCTTGGCATGTGTTCTGAGCTGCTGGGTCCAGGACTCAAACCATGTAGTTGGTCATATGAGATCCAGCTGCTTTAACCACCATGCCATTGCCTTAACCACCGTGCCACTGTCTTAACCATCACACCACCTGTAGGCTTTCATCTTTTCATCTTTTTAGCTGGTTGCTGAAAAATTAGGGTGAGATGCCCTTGATACCTCTGTAGTTTTCCTAAACATGGGAAAGAATACCTTCACCCACCCTACTCTCTTCCTAGACATGGCCCTGCAACTCAGCTTCACAGTCCCAAAACACAATCTGTAAAATCTTGATAATTAGAATATATATTTTCTGTTTTAACTGACAAAAACTAACTATAAAATACTTTGGGAGATATAAAAACAAAAAATTAAAATTAAATCACTTCATATTAATGCTATTCAATTTTTTTATGTATTTTACTTTTTCTATGTAAATACAAATTTTTTTTTCTTTTGATAGGAATGTGCTAATGCTCTGAGTATCAACTGATAACTAGCTTTACTTATTCAGTAAATATGCAGGCAAATAAATAATATATAGAAGTGCATAATATTTCTTCTTCATAGAACTCCTTTATATAAAGGTACATAATTTATGTATCTAATTCTTTATTACTGGACATTTAGGTTGCTCTTAATTTTCAATGTTTTGTTAAACATGTTTTTATTGGTATATGTTTTTGCTCTCTGTCCAAAATTAGGCTCCTGCTCTTCCCTCCCTAACTGCTCTTCTCATAGCCTTTCCCATACTAGTTGACCAGGCTGAAAGCCTTGGGATTTTTTTCATTCCCCTCTTT